ATACACTTCACTTAATATTGTTGTTGACAATAACACGCAACAGGTGACAGCTAACCTATCCTATCAGTCCCGTCATTATTACTTCGAGATGTATATACCAATGTCACCAACATTCCCTATCCGGATACTACAACGAATCTCATTGGTGAATCATTTTTCCTCTTAGGTTCACACAGCAGCCAATGAGAGACCGTATTGACGAAATAATACTCATTTTTCACTTTTTATTAATAGAATAAATAACGATAATAATACGCTTTAAACCTTCCTTGATTAATAAGAAACTTATGTTCCAAAGTTGATATAAAACTATGCAGTAGTTATCGAGAATTAAGGTCACGACCGATCCGGGCTCGATGAAACGCATACTTCCTCTCTTTTCGCCAACCTACGGTTGGCAGCAGTCGGGAGAAAAAATAAAAGAGAGATTTACTAAAAATGGGAATAATATTTATATAGATTTTTAAAAATAAATTCTGATGATATAATATGATAGACATACTAAAAGATTACAAGATTCTCTAAGTATATTTTCTTGTACATATTTTTGTTGATTAGACGAATCCGCTCGTAAAAATTGCGCACGTTTAATTTTCGAGATGTCGATTCTATAATAAAAAAATACGAAACGAGCAGTTTTGCACCTTTCCACAAGATATAACATTTAATTAGGATGTAATACAAAAGGCTACGACAAAATGAAGTTTTGTAAAAATATGAAAGATCGAACCTAAAGAAGTGTATCAGAAAAAAATTAGATCATAAAATTGTAAGTATATTTTTTGCGCTTATATTGTTATATTAATACAGAAATCTTCAGAGATTAAAGTAAAATCAGTAAAATGGCTCATTTTTTTCATAAAAATTAGTGTATATATATTACTTGGATCATTTAATTACTATACATACGCAGGTATATTAATGAATGTGTAATCAGATTTATAAAATTTAAAATGGCGGATCAAAAATTTAATATTATAATTATATTTTATTTTAATATTAATATTTTATATAATTTTTATTACAAATTTATTTTATATTCAAAGTCGTATATTTCAGAAACTAAAGAATAACACCACATAACATTTATAAAGCACACAAATACTTGCACTTTCTATTGTAAGTTAATGTGTCAACATTAAATTAAAGTACATAGAGAAAGATGAGCAATTGCGGTTAAAGAAATTGTTTTTTGTCACATTTCTTTTCTTAAATACAATTTTTCTTAAATAAAAATCATCAATCTTTCTTTAAATAATCATCGATCTTCCTTTTAGCAACGTATAAGCGAACCATCTATTAACTGATACAATATCTTATTAATAATGTGATAACAAACAGAGCACATATATTTGCAGTCTGTTGATAACATATATGATTGTTTACATTCACAGATTATCTACATTCATCGTCCATAATATATATATGGTACATTGTGTGAGCGTTATGAATGAAAGCTTAATCAAGAAATATAATTTTACACTTTAAAGGCTTCTGGCTCCTTGAAAACTTGAAAAGTTAATAACCTTTAACTTACAATTAGCTTAATTAATTTAAAATATATATTAATTTTTAACTTTAACTAGTTATTTTTGACCTTAAACTTATTAACTTTTTCCTAAGTTAATTTTTTTTATCTTTGAATACCATTATTGTTTTTTACGTTTTTAAGTTATAAACGTATTATTTTTTAATTAAAGTATTATTATTAATTATTTCCATTTATTCTCATCAAATGTATAATTACTAAAAAATATATTTCTATATAAAAATCAAAATTTCTTTCTTATTTGTTATTATAAATTTTAAAAGAATTAACAAACAAAATTCTAATTTAATATAAATAATGTTTTTAAAAATTAACTTTTGATTTAACTTCAGTTAATTTAATCTTAACTTAACTGAGTTAATTTGTTGTTCATGTAAACTTTTAACTTATTAATTAAATTAATTTTATAAGCAACCAACCTTTATATAACTTAATTTAATTTAAAAAGATCATTAACTTACCCAACCTTGATTTTGCGGTTGTTGATTGACTGTCAAGGGAAAAGAACAGTCTTTTTAAGGTATTTCAAAAATATGCTAAAGCCACCTCTAAGTAATGTTTTTATCGAAATACCTTTTCCCATTTAAAAATGGCATCTAAGAATTTTCAACGTGTGCTTTCTTGTCTTTGACGTCACAATCTAACACGGCGAGGATCTAGGAACCTTAAAAGAAAGTCGTTTCCTAATTTTTGGCCAGATTTGGCACCTGTTGATTTTTATGTTTCTCAAGATAAAATTGGTGATGAAAGGGAATAACTATATATAAAGATTTAAAGACGATATTTAACGCGCCATTATAAAGCATTAAAATACAATTTCCCAGCAGGAGTTTTCCAAGACCTTTTAGCAGCTTTACAAATGAATAACATACATATATTCTATTGACTTATATTCTTTAAAAGAATATTCTATAAATAAATAAATAAATATGCATATATATATACACATATATATGTAGAAAATTGAATAATAAAATTTTATTTCATTTTTTTTTGTAGAATTTGATTTTTTATTGCATCAGTCTGGGAACTTTTTGAAAGCACTCTGCATAAATATTTTGATAATAAGATAATTAATATAAACTCTGCTAAATAACGTGACAATACATTAAATATTATAAAATTATTATAAGATTAATAATAATTAATTTAATTATTATATATTATAATTAATATAATGATATAATATAATTATATAATTAATACTTCTTGATGAGAAAATAGATATGAAAACTTCTAATTTTATCTTAAAATATATGTACATATATCTGATCGCATTTTTGCACAAAGTCTTTCAGCTTGATATTGTGTCTGGATAATTTATTTTGTTATTCATAAAACTTACAAAGAGCCTCACTGACTCGGATCAAGACAGAACAATCGTGCTGTGTAAAGACAAAAGCGAGAAAAAAAGAAATAAGTTAAGTCATCCGTCTGTTCTCTCTTTCTTTCTTCTAGTTGCGAATTGTCTGTTTGAAAGGCCGCTTTGAAAATTCTTTGAAGGGACTATATAAATGAGATATACACGTTGTTTCCTACTTCAGCTCTTTCTGGTCATTGCCGAAAAAGAATAAAAAATAATGAATAAACCGGTCTACGCACATTTCTTTCTCTCAGAATCGTTATTTCGCTTCTAAGGCCACGAGATAAGGCGAAATCTAAAATTGTAAAAAATGATTACACAAATTATACGTCAAATAATAAGTATAATTTCGTTGAATTTTATCATCGTAAATTAGGAGAAAACAATAGAAATTATTTTTACATTTTTATTGAAATATCAGACATATATTAGTTGTTTGAATTCTCTTCTGTGTACGTTTAATTATACATATTATTATTAACTAAAATATTATATAGATTTGTATAAAATAAATTATATTAATTATTTCCTTAATTTTTTTAATACTACTGCAAAGATTAGAAAAATATACATTTATGTCAACCAATATTTTTGTCATATCAATTCATTCAGTATATGTTTATGCGAGAAGACAGAAAAAATGATTGAACGCGATTTCCAGATAAGGCTTTTCTCTGAACCGGGTTCTCGGCCGGTCCAATCCTTGATTGGTGAGAAGAGAAGCACGATACGGGGCCTGAGATGAAAGGCTTCGGCGTTACAGGTTACCACGTAATTTCATGAGGCTATAATTTGGGGGGTGCATCGTGGATGAGAGGAACACAACATCGTGTTCGTGTATGGGCAAATCTAGTAGAGGAAGGAAGAAGAAAGCGGCTTTGGTGGGCCTCGCATGAACGTGCGAGGATTCATTAGGATCGAGGCGGGAAGAATGGGCGGGATAATTACCCCCCAATGCTCATCGCTCGTTATATTTCATAGAATCAAGTCTCCTTCCCTGCTTCATCGTCGGAGGATGCATTATCTTCTCGTCCTCTCCATCTCTATCTCCGTCGTAGGCTTTGTCCTGTGTTTATAAGATGAAGCAATGATGGAAAGATACCTAAGCAAAGTTTTTCTAAAAAATGCACCACCTAATCTAGTCTAACCTATAACCAAGTACATAAAAAAAATTCCGAATCTATATACGGAATAAAGAAAAAAATATTTAAAGAATTATAGAAAGAAAACAGGCCGATAAAAGCTAAAGCGCGGAAACAGCTCGAATAAATGTCTTATCAATAAAATCCTTTAACTACTAATTCTAAAAATCGTGTTCTCTATAATCTCTAATTTACGTCTTTGACATGAAAAAGATGAATCCCTTCCGAATCGATTTCAGCCGTTTTAAGAAACTTATTCATACACACACACATATATATATATATTCGGAACATCGGATCGACATAATAAACATTGACCAATCAATATAGATTCAATATATAAAACCGCAATGTTTATGTGCTGCTCGGGTTTGATAGTTATTCATTCTCTGCATTCCCGTCCTGTTTCTAATTTTGTTTAAAATTTTGGTAAATTTTATTTTTTTTTTTCATAACCTTTCGTATATGACATATATATATATATATAGGTCAGACGTTGTAAAAATGCCATTATACGAAAGGTTATAGAAAAAAAAATAAGGAGATTTACCAAAATTTTAAACAAAATTAGAAACAGGGCGGGAATGCAGAGAATGAATAACTATCAAACCCGAGCAGCACATAAACATTGCGGTTTTATATATTAGATCTATATTGATTGGTCAATGTTTATTATGTCGATCCGATGTTCTGAAATAACAATGTAGACCGATGTTGGTGGCGTCACGCTGGTTTATCGATGGCCAATGTTTGATAAAATGTTGTATTTTGCATTTAGCCAACATTGCACCAAAAATTGTAAAATGATATGATCGTACAAAAACATTGGCCCAATATATTAGACATACGTCTCAACTATCTAAATTCTAGATATTGGTTCAACGTTTCCCAATGATAGACCATTATCTGTATTATAATAAATATATAATTTTTAGTTAATATTAATTTCAATAATCACAGATCTTAAAAATAAAATGGATGTCAATAAATTTTTAGAACGTAACGTTCTAATATGCGATTGTTGTCAAAAAATGATACATTTCATATAATACAATCTTAGAAAGTTGTTCCACAGGCATAAGTGGAGAGAAGAGAATGACAAATTCTAATGAAGGGCTAACTTCACTTGTCTCAAGCATTTAGTTTATTGTTAGTTTGTTTTGGAGATTGAAGCACTTTTAATATCTGATATTCAAAAAAATGGTTTTGTAACTATAGCAAAAATTTTTTAGGTGCAAAAAAATTAACTAAAGTAGACAAATGATTAGCACATATTGCAAATCATGTATATTTTGCACGTAATCAATCTAACTGACAGACAGAATTTACATCTGAGCTATTTGTGAAATTTAGGAAGAAAGTTTTTCTGTGGCACCTATCTTAGTGACCTAACTGTGTTAAGATCAAACATATTTGTTAGAAAGTTTGGCTGTGATACACAGAAAAAATTAGCAGCGAGAGACAAATAAATATATAATCTTGACACTTAATATAGTTTGTATAATGCACTTAATCTATGTAACTTGATTTAACTGTCTTGCGTTCAACTGTCACGCGTGCAACTACTGTCATACGTGTAAGTCTGCTCCGATCCGCCGATGCTGATTCAGTTTTGTAACTACAACTAAATTAATAACTAAATAAAAATAAATTAATTGTAATAGTAATAATACACGGAGGAAATTTTACATTAAAAATTACTATGGTGTGTAATAGTTGTGGGCCATCAGACCCAATTCTATATAAGTTAAAGTCAGTATGACATAGTATATGTAAAACTAAAAATTAACTGTCAATTAATGTAATTTTTAGTTTTACATAGAACTTTAACTTAAGTTATAGTAATTTTTAATGTAAAATTTCTTCCGTGTATTATTACTATTACAATTAATTTATTTTTATTTAGTTATTAATTTAGTTGTAGCTACAAAACTAAGTTAGCTATGATATTTATAATATATTGATATATGAGTAATTTTTTAGCTGTAGCTACAAAAATAAGTTGGCTGTGATATCTATAAAATTGATATATTATCTTGCTAACAGTTATAATTAACAGCTATATTTTTCACAAAAATTGTTCTAGCTGTAGTATTGAAATTCATATTTATCCAATACAGTGATTAATATTTAGCAATAGGATTAAAATTTTCTAGCAGATATTGCTAGAATTTAAACTGCTATAAATTCTTTCTGTGACAAATGATATTCTATTAGATACAAAAAATAGCGATAAATTTTTGTTGCAACAATTAGAAATCTACCTACATCTGCAAAACATTTTTTTGAGTGGAATATTATAACTCGGGCTTACATATATGTTAATGAATTGGCAAACATATAGATGGTATAATTGTAATCAAACTATAGGAGAAAAAATATACAAAATCCATATGTACTTTTCATGTCATACATATTCTCATCGTCCTTCTAATCGTGTTACTTACAGCTGACGACATTTATGCCACTGGTCCATTACAACTGTTCGAGACACCTTAGGCTTTTCTTATGTGCCGTCTTCGTCCCAGTTTGCTCAGAGCATGTAGCTATGCAAATACCGGCGTGCAAGTCTCTTTGTCTTTCCGTAAGAAGAGACTGCGAGCCGGCTTTAACCAGTCTCACGTTGCCGTGGCCACACATGTTGGATTGCGACCGTTTCCTTGATCGTGGTAAGAATCTATTTATCATCGAGTCATCATTGTCATTAATTAAAAAACACCGAAATTTAATGTTATTATTCAAATTGGTCTCTCTCCCTAATTAACACTCTTATATTATATTATAGGAAACACACTGTGCGTGCAACCACCGGACGAAACGTTAGACGACACTAATTCACCGACATTGCCAATTATTCAACCGCAATGGCCAGCGATGCATGAACAATTGAAGACTTCTACGCGAATACAACAGCAGCAACATCAATGTCCACCTCATTTTGTGCAGATACCTGATGCAGAAATGGTTAGGATTTAAGTGCATAATTAAAAATGATTAGATGACCAAACAAGAGTGATAATAATAAAAATATATATATTTTTGTAATTTCTTGCTGCTCTGTATTTCAGATTTTTTGTGCACCACGTTGCGGCACCGATGCATATTATCGCTCAGAAGATAAGAGATTCGCTGAGCGTTGGATGACCGGTTGGGCGTGGTTATGTTTCCTGTCGACGCTCTTCACATTGTTAACTTTCTGGATCGAGCCATCCAGATTTCGTTATCCCGAAAGGCCAATAGTTTTCCTGGCGCTCTGCTATAATCTCCTTTCAGCGGCTTTTATTATTCGGGGTGCGGTTGGTGCTGAAAAGATCAGCTGCGTCAATCAGATTGATGGACCAAGTTATGTTCCAGTAAGTATGGATATAGATTTCTTTCAATATGTAATAAAATTTTGATATTTTTTTTATATTTCGATTTATCTATCTGAGTAGATACGCGATGCTTTGAAGAGTGCTCCCTGTACTATCTGGTGGTTGGTCAGGTACTATTTGGGATTAGCTAGTAACACATGGTGGGCAGTGCTATGTGGTTGCTGGCTTCTGAGTGCCAAGAATGAGTGGAGCAGCGAAGCTCTTCACAACATTTCATCCTATCTTCACGCGGCCGCATGGATTTTTCCGATATTCCTTACAGGAGGTAAGACTTTTTAGTCTGAGATAATTTTTTTTTCTATGTACAACGCATACCTATTTTATCGAGCACAATACAATTATGAAGGTTTTTCTGAATATAATCAGAAAAAAATTAAGTATTCCATTTAAAAGAACTAAATTAACTTTTAAATAATCTTGAAAAATTTTATTCCAATAAGTCACAATGTTATATTCCCCTTCTTGAAATTCTATAATTTTTGTCTGATATATTTTTCTTAAATCCTCATTTCGAGATATTTGACTGTCAAAAGGAACAGCCTGCATATTGTAGCAATTTCTCTGCAAATTTTTGAGTATATCTTATTTCTCTATACAGGAAGTTTGCTATCGCGCAACGTGGTAGCGGACGAATTAACCGGATTGTGTCAGATCTCTGATGAATCGGCATTATGGTTGGAAGTGATGCCGCACGCCATACTGCTATTGCTGGGCTGCGTGCTTGGTGGTATCGCTGGAAGTGCTCTGGTCCGCGTGCGAAGGGCTGTACGTTGCGCCGGACGCAGCGCAACCAAGCTAGAACGTTTGATGACGCGGCTAGGTATCTTCGCACTGTTATACGCGTTGCCAGCGCTGGGCGGTCTGATCTGCGTGCTGCACGAAGCCTCGGTAAAACCGCGATGGCGAAAATTGGCGCTACTCGCCGCCCTGGATTGCCGTACGGCTCAGAACTGCGCTCCAGGTCCGATCTATCAGGCCGCCGGTCTTGAGATCACTCTTCTCAGGCTCTTCTTGTCTCTCGTGATCGGCGTCACTTCCGGCATGTGGGTATGGTCTAGCAAAACCTGTCGCGTCTGGAGCAAACTCCTTACCGCGCCCAATAAGCCTATTAGGATGCAGAAGTCTCATCTTCAAAGCTTTAAGCAAAACGCCACTGTTGCTTAAAAACTTTCAAGTTGGATCGCTAAAATCTGTATCGATCATAACTTGATCTAATTTGGACAAAATCTGAAGAACATTATATATATAAGGAATTTAAGTTTGAATCTTGTAGAGATATTTAATGATAAAACGAAAAAAGATTTTATATATCTTATACTTTAAAAATTAAAGTAGGGAATGGGCTAATAAGGCTCTTGGGCTCTCGCCGACCATGTGACGTCGTACAGGCGAGAAAACACGCTAAAAATTCTTAGATGTCATTTCGAAATAAAAAAATATTTCGATGACACAGCTTCAGATGACTTCAACACGCTTTTAAAATACCTCAAAAACTAGCCTTTTCCCTTTATAATAAATATTAACAGTTGTAAAATGACTGTAATATGAGGCCCAGTCTGTCTGGTCCTTGCACATATGCGCAGTCATTCTACATGACACATTGTTGATTAATAACTGTCAAAAGAAAAGTAATTTTCGAGGTATTTTAAAAGTGTGCTAAAGCCCTACCTGAAATAGTATTTCATCAAAATATTTTTTCATTTAAAAATAGCATCTAATAATTTTCAGCGTGTTTCCTCGCCTCTGACGTCACAATCCAACATGGCGGCGGTGCGAAGATATAAGCGGGGAACACACACTTTTGCATAAGCACATAAGCATATATACATAGGAAATTTGATTGGTTGAATTTTTTATGCATACGTTTATAGACCAATCAAGATTATTATGCTTACGCTTATGCGCCTATGTAAAAGTGTGTGCTTCCCGCTATAGGCCGGTATTCATAGTTCGATCTTATATTTAAGATTGTCTAAGGCCGGGTCTACAATAGATGTAGTAAGCTCTAAGCCTTAAGAAATTGATCAATCACAGTCAATTATTCCCCTCATTCTTGATTGTGATTGGTGAATTTCTTAAAGTTTAGAGCTTACTACATCTGTTGTATATTAGCCTTAGGCCAGATCTACAACAGGTGAGTAAGCTCTAAGCTTTAAAAAATTCACCAATCACAGTCAAGAATGAGGGGAATAATTGACTGTGATTGATCAATTTCTTAAGGCTTAGAGCTTATTACATCTATTGTAAACCCGGCCTAAATATAAGATCGGACGAAGATTTTAAATATGAATACCGGCCATAGTTTGTAAGAGAGATTTTATATATATATATATATATATATATATATATATATATATATAAAATTAGAGAACGCAGTAATTTATGTTATTATGATTTTATTTATCCCGAATTATACTATAAAATAGTTATAATATGTATATAATTATTGCCAAGCATATAATTATTATGCTTTTGTATATATATATATATATATATATTGTAAAAATTTATACGAAACTTTTATTTAAAATAAACTGGTCCCCAATTTAGGAACAGTTTATTTTAAAGACCTTAGAAATAAGCATTTTTCATGTTTTTATGAAGTATAAACATAATATACACTTATAAAAAAAATTTATATATATATTTAAAAATTCATCAATTCAGTGAGGATTTATAATTTAAAATATTTGCCATAAAATAAATCCTGCTTATAGAAATATATGAATCATACTCCTTTTGTTCCTACATATTTTGTTTTTTATTATTTATAGATAAAAGATAATTTTTTGAAGAAAAATATCTTTGAAAGTTATTTTTTAAGCATAAATAATTTTTTTATTATTCTGAACTTTAATAATAGTAAAGATTATATTTCGACCCATAAATTATAATACTTTTAATAACTTTAATAAACATGTCTTATTAATATTTTTATTTAAATATATACTTTTTATTTTCGAATTAGTTCAATTTCATCTTTTCTGTTTGTTTCTAATCGAATTAAGTGACATTAATTACAGCCGTGATATTACTTTTAAGATTGAGAGTTCAACAGAGGATTTTGTTAATGGTAAGTGATATTAACATTTATATGTTATATAATCAATTCAAATATTGTAATACATAAATTGGGAATGTATAATAAAATAATATCTAAATGATTAAGAAATAAAATCTTACTCTCACTCTTGTTTATATATTTTTAATGCTATATATATATATATCTTTCTTTTTGGTGTTTCTATCTTTATTAATACTAAAAATATATACAGAGATATACATAAGATATAAAATGGAAACTATATATGTAAAAATAATTTTTTGCTAACTAAACTTTTTTACTAAAATATTTTTACTAACTTAGCCCTATTTTTTTATACAGGGTGTTAAAAAAGTGTCGCATACGCTCAGTACCATTCGATAGGGAATCTAAGAATCTAAGAATCTAAGAATCTAAGAATAAATGTCTAATACTATTTTCGATCTGATGAATAATTTTACCGCAATTAATTATTGTAATCAGTCAATCAGCGCGGAGTTACAAGTCAGAGCGGGCGCGCGAAGTTAGCTGCGGCGCGGCGGCAACCGCGCTCACGTATGGTACGCAGTTTTACTTTTTCATAGCATAAAAAATATTTCATTTAAGGGTCGGCAGGCGACATGGTGGAGACGCCTATCGGCCGGCCGGGAATTACGGATTCTTATTTTCCAGATATTAGCGAAAATATTGAATGAATCTTATTAAATTTAGGATATTCTTAATCAGTAAGCTCATTTGTAGTCCTCTAAAGAGCTATTTTATGAAAAAAAGATAAAAATAAAAATTTTTAATAAACTTGGGGGAATGCACAGCTAGGAACGGGTAAGGTTGGGTTAGCCGCGAGTCCGTATTTTATTTATTATAAATTTTTAAGAGCGAAAATGTAAAATCCGGCCTTTTAGAGGACTGCTTTATTATATAAAGAATATATTAAAAAAAAATTCACGAAGTTATGTCACTTATTTTATGAAATATCTGGACGATAAGATTCTCACTAGATTCATAAGGAGCAGGGGAAATTTCTGTGGTAACATGCTGACTGCTTGACAAGGAGAGAGCATCATTCCATCTTTGTCTCTCTTACATCGCATATGTAGTAGCGTCCATGTAGGTACAAACACTAATACGTGAGCACACGGATGCAAATATTGAGAGATAATGTTAGCAAAAAGGCTATCATATTATTTTTATTTTTTTGTATATGTATGCATATGTAAATAAAGAACAAAAATAAAAACTATTTTAAGATGACATTTTATAATTAATTTTCTATATGTATTTGCATTTTATTAATATGTATTACATTTTTGATATGTTTTTAATTTATAATTTATATAAACATAAGTATGAAATAAAAATTGAAATAGTTCTGAAAATAAGTATATTAATGATAAAATTATTCAAAACAATAAAAAAATTAAATTTAATATTTTTTAGTGTTTGTACCTACATGGACGCTACTACATATGCGATGTAAGAGAGACAAAGATGGAATGATGCTCTCTCCTTGTCAAGCAGTATTAAAAGCCATATTAAAAGCTCTAGCTTCATTCAATTAATAATCCAATATAATAATCAACAATTATTTTTATATAATATATAGTATTTTTAAATATTTTTAAATATTTAAAAATATTTTTTTTAAGATTAATTGAGGAAAAGAATATTTTAAATATAAAAAAATATTTTAAATATTCTTTTTCAATTAATTTTTAAAACAAATTTTTAAAAATATTTTTATATATTCAAATACTTATTATATTATATAAAAATTATTGTGAATTATACTCATTGGAGTAATAATTATTGATTGAAGCTTGTTATGGCACAAACTGAACATCTTGTACATTGTCTGTATAATATTTTACTTATTTATAAAATGTTTTTTATAAATAAATGAAATATTATATATATATAATATATAAGATTATTGATGTTACATTGTATAACTCTCATTTCTTCCTCTCTGCTACATAAGTACTTATGACGTGAAAGAACTTACGAGTAACGTATGATGGCTCAATGCAAGAATATTTAATCACGTAAAAAACTTGAGTTCAAATATATCAATATCAATTTTTTTATAATATATTGGAATATAGAAAATCATAGAAATATATTTTTTATATAGGCGATAAACTTAAAAATTTGATATTGAAAATATTTTAATCATTTTACAACTACACATACTATAAATATATAAATGCAAAATAATTCCGTAAATAAATTTCAAGTAATAAATCAATTGCACACATGCACACAGCTGGTATGTAGATTTTTATTAAATTTATTTTCTGAATTATTTTACACTTATATATAGTGTATGTAGTAAAAATATTTTCAATATATTAAAAAATTTTTAAATCGCCGAAATATATTTTTTTATCATTTTTCTATATTCTAATATATATATATATATATATATATTATAAAAAAATTGATATTGATATATTTGAACTCTAATTTATATACTGGATGATATACTGAACATCCTTGCATTGATTATACATTACTCAACGTTCTTTCACGTTATAAGTATTTGGAGCAAATTATACAATAGTATCAATAATCAAAAAGAAATCAAGAATATAATCAACATATCCCTTATATAATATATATATATATATATATATATATATATATGTTATATATATACGTTATGCACATATGTGCATAACCATATATACAATTTCCAAAAAGTGGGTGTTTATTAGTCTTGCTACGTTACTGCTTTCTGCTACGGAAGGCCAGGGGGTCGATTGTGTAACTTTTTCTAAAGTGAAAACGTGAAAAGTGAAAAATTTCCACCAATCACGCATTGATTTTAAAATGAAATCGATGTGTGATTGGAAGAAATTTTTCACTTTTCACATTTTCACTTTAGAAAAAATTACACAATCGACCTTCAGAAAGCATTTTCAGGCGGCATCTCGCGTATACCGGCACGGTAGATGAACAAGGAGAACACGTGATTATCGGTCCTTGTCTCTCTTACGTGCGTCCGCGTGAGCGATGCAGTTGGTGTATGTACGTGTACAGACATACACCACTACATAAAACCCGAGAATTGGTTTCTCGGCGTTGGCAACACTGAAACCGGAGTTTCGCGTTGTCACCGCACGAGGTCTCCAATATCAATTCGGAGTTTGCCTGGGTGTACTGCCGACCCTTAATCTTTTTATATTAAGGGTCGACAGGCGACATGGTGGAGACGCCTATCGGCCGGCCGGGAATTACGGATTCTTATTTTCCAGATATTAGCGAAAATATTGAATGAATCTTATTAAATTTAGGATATTCTTAATCAGTAAGCTCATTTGTAGTCCTCTAAAGAGCTATTTTATGAAAAAAAGATAAAAATAAAAATTTTTAATAAACTTGGGGGAATGCACAGCTAGGAACGGGTAAGGTTGGGTTAGCCGCGAGTCCGTATTTTATTTATTATAAATTTTTAAGAGCGAAAATGTAAAATCCGGCCTTTTAGAGGACTGCTTTATTATATAAAGAATATATTAAAAAAAAATTCACGAAGTTATGTCACTTATTTTATGAAATATCTGGACGATAAGATTCTCACTAGATTCATAAGGAGCAGGGGAAATTTCTGTGGTAACATGCTGACTGCTTGACAAGGAGAGAGCATCATTCCATCTTTGTCTCTCTTACATCGCATATGTAGTAGCGTCCATGTAGGTACAAAAACTAATACGTGAGCACACGGATGCAAATATTGAGAGATAATGTCAGCAAAAAGGCTATCATATTATTTTTATTTTTTTGTATATGTATGCATATGTAA